AATTGTTAGAAAAAAAAAAATAGACACACAGATGCACACACATACATGTATATTTTGCCACCCTGTAGTATAAAGAAAACATTTTAAAATCTGGAAATGAAATATGTTACCTTTTTCCTTCCAAAAGCAGAGTGACTTTTGTGTGGTGTCCTTTGCTGCCATTTCTTACTGTAATTGTATAGTATAAAATCCTCAGTATTTGCTTTACTTTTTCTTATCAAGGAAAACCAATAGTATAATAAGTTAACCTGAAAATGCCCTTTACAGTTCATCATTCAGAGTGAGGAAAAATGTATGTTTACAGTCAAGGTGAGAATGGAACTGTAGCTGACAAATTTGTGAGCATGTTAGAGAGCAAATGTGCATCAGTGGAACGCAGGATGGGTCAGGAGTGGCCGGCAGGTGCCCAGCACGCAGTCGCGGGAGATGGGTCCGAGTCCTGGTTTCTGTGAGTCCTGTGAAGAGAGAGTGGGAGAAACGCTGCTCTTTCAACTTAATGTCCTTGTTTGTATTTCCAGAAAATTGTTTAGGTAAAAAGTGCCTGGTATAAATAGGTACACAGTCGGTCAGATATGTTAATTGCATTTCACTTGATTTAATGAAAATTTACCATTTGTTTTGAGGTCAGTACCATTAAAAAATCATGTTGAAGTTCTCATTAACTCACTTGAGTGGTATTTATATAAGCAAAAACGAAGTGGTGGTTTTTCATATTTGTGGCATGTTCTTTTGTCAGCTACCAGCCTAGAAACAGAATGTCAGAGCTTTGAGTTGGAAAAACCACCTAGCTCAACCCTCCCTCGGAGGGCAAGGAATCTGAGACTCGGAGGTGGTGAAACTGACACAGGTAGTGCAGCGATCTGATTCTCGACTTGAGCGTTCTTCCCTCATACCGTGTTTCTTCTCCCACCCAGGGGTGTGCACCTGAAACATTTCATCAAAGAGAAATACAGAACTTCTTGCCCACACACAAACGAAAGGGTCTTCCCTTCCCCTGACAGGGAAGGTGCACCAGGGAACCTTCTGGGGCAGTAGTTGCAAACATCCTGTGTTTTGACAAAGATGTGGGGGCCTGATTTTTTTAAATTGAGTTTTAATTTACATATAGTGAAATGGTCAGGTCAGGTGTACAGTTTGATCCATTTTAACAAAAAGGGCTGTTCTTCCTGGCTTGTGGGGAGAGAAATGGATCAGTAAGGACACTCTGATTGTGCCTTAAATGATTTACAGTTTCCCGGGGGCATAGTGATAAGGTCTCACAGATAAGGAACTTGGAATGGGAGGTATAATTCTAGGGTCCTTGAGTCGAAGTGTTTCTTTTTGAAATTTCTAACATAAAACACAAGCTTTAAAAGTTAAATATTTTCAAGTGCCGCTCCCTCTCACCCCATGTTAATGGTTCCCTAATAAAGGCTTCAAAGGGAAAATGAGAGGTGGGAGACCACCTAGTGTAGGGGGCAGCGTGGGAGAGGTCAAGGTCTGGAGCCCGGAGCCCTTAAGGAGAGTTGTGGGAGAGGGAAGAGCTGGAGAGGCCGCCTTCTGGACCCGATTTCTGTGGTGATGGCCGCAGGCCAGACGATGACTTGAACTCCAGTCTTTCTTCTCCTGAGGACAGCTGCCCTCATTGTGACCGACGGGCACACACGATAGAGGAGGCTCCACTAGCTCCTGTGCACCCCACAAGTGGTCACCTCGTCCAGTGCCGTTTCTGCCTAGGCTTTCCGTTACACAGCAGATGTGGTCACCTCATTCTTTGCTCTCTCCTTTCCTCTCCCTCGTCCCACTTTCACTGTGCTCCAGGAGTGCTGGTGTTCTCTGGGAACCCCTTCAGTGTCTCTGTCCCTTCAGCAAACACACCCTTTAGACTGTGTCCTCAGGAATCAAGGCACACGGTCCTGTCCCTGTCTGTCCCAGCACTGCCCCTCTCTCTGCAGGGAAAGACCGGGGTCCCTTGTTCCTTTGCACACTTAAATCTTTCATCCTTTAGGTCACTCTGCGTTCCCCTGCCACATACTTTCCATTGTGCCTGTCCTGTGTTGAAGGGTTTACTGTTACCTGTCCTTGCACATCGCAGCTCCTGTGCTTTTTCCGGCAAGGCCCTTTATGGCTGTGTCCTGCCTGGCCTGTTTAACCTTACTTCATAATCATGCACACTTCCCAGCCTGAACTTTAATGTTTGTTTCTTTCCTGTTCCCGCTGGCCTGGAACACACTGTGCCATTTCCTGCCCCTCTTTTCTTTTTTCTTTTCATACTTCTTTGTCTCGG